AAACAAATATATGTTTTGAAACAGCAGTTATCAATTATTGTTGATATATGGCTCGGTTAAACGCATTAAATGTTGGATAAATTCGAACGAAACTCTAATCCAACACAAATTTTGTACTCCATAAATTTGGACAAATATTTAGCCAAGAAATCAGATTCACAAATAGAATTAATTCTTTTTTTTCACTCACAAATCGGTTCCGTATTTAAGCCCCAAATAATGGCTTAAATTATTGCCAATTTATTTGCATTAAGTAAATAAAAATCGGTATTCGCAACTTCTCTTGAGCTACGATGTGTCGAGAATACGAAACGTAGGCTGAAGTACACGGGCTATTCTGATTAAAAATAAACAAATTATTTAAAAAAATAAATTGGTTCTTCCGCGAAGAAAGTATCTGAATATCTTAAGCAAAGTGATGTTTCCTCATGACGTTTTCTTGCTTCTTCTTCCAGTTGAACACGGAAAAGACTATTTAAGTAATGTACCTCAAATAAAAGAAATATCGTATTATCTGGCAAGTGATGAGATTTAACAAAGTAAACAAAGTCTGCTGCGTCATCCTACCGAAAATCTTTCTGCAATTATATTTTTTTTCTATTAATTAAGCAAAAGATAAACAATTGTTTAAATAACAAAAAAAAAAAAATGTATAAATAAAAATAAAAAACAAACGTAAGCAAGTTTTATGAGAAAAAGTCTGCGAAGAGAAATTTCTTTCAGATACTTTTACAAAACAATACATCCATTAAATACGGGAAATCCTGAATTATATTTATGCCGAATTTATTATCATTGGAAGCACACTTATTGTATTATGATTACTTAGCACTTATGATTAATTCATAAAAACATTACAAATTTTTAATAGTTAGCACTACAATCGAGTATCATTGATATGGAATATAACGCGATATGAGGAAGAAGTATAGAATAAACTTAAACCAAACTGAAATGAACATATATATAGCTCACCTCTTGAATTCAGAGCATGTCATGATAATAATTATAAAGCACTGCGACTATCGCTGATCGTTTGTACTTACCGACTATAACTGAACAGAAGAACCTTCACCATTCGAATAATGCTCAAAATGTCATATGTTAAGGAGATTCTAATATCAGACGGCGATAGAAACTGTCAAACCGCTTAATTTCTACAGCTCAATATCAAAGCCGGATGGTCAAAAAAATGTGACTAAAAGTGTTATCTAGCTCCAATCTGAGCCCACATTATGTTTCCATCGACAGACTCAACTTGCTAAGATACCAATGCAGACAATGGTGATCTTGTTGGTAAGCTGACAATTAGCTGATGAAGTACATACTATTGTAGTTGGAGTAGTTAACAAAAGTATCAATAACTAATTTAAAAAACCAATAAATTGTAATATTCTCCAACAGTACTACCTTGATATTCTTGAACTGTTATTCCATCATAGTGCGAAATCAAAGTCCAGCAGTGGAAAACTCAACTGGGATCAGTGCGTAAAGAGTGTACTGAGGTCAGTGAGTAAAGAGTGTACTAAGATCAGTGAGTAAAGGGGGTACAATATCATTGATTTGAATTCCAGACCATTTGGGAATAGACGAGCGTAAGAGTTAGGTTGAGAAACATCTTTGGTAGAGGAACAAATACTAACCTCATCAAATATTTTTCAAAAACATAATCAGAACCATTAGAAAAGATAAACAGATCTTTAATTTCCAACTTACAATTTTACGAGAATCTAAACACTATTAGGCAGGTTTAGGATCAAAGAGCGTCAGTAGGCACCGGAAAATTGTCTATGCTCTTTACACAAAAATGCAAAAGTTACGAGAAAGAGAAGTAGAAGAGAAATAGAAACTGTGCAGAAGAATTTCTTTGTAAGTACCCGGGAAGGTAATAAATTCTATTATTGAAGTCTAATGAACTAATGAGGGTGGCGTATGTTCAAAATTTAGATTTTCTATAATCAATCTTTATATAAGTCAACCGGTTTGTATCGTATATGTGGTCATGTAACGAAATTGATTTTATATTCTACTTAGATAGAAAACAAACTTTTCCTTAACCAAAGCCAACCACCCAAGTTCATATTCACTGGAAATTCTAATGCAAACTGCAATTAGAACAGTATATAGAATTTGTGGAAAAAATAGAATGATAAGGACCTACGGGAAAATTGACGTTGTAATTGTCCAAGTTTCTATACATCTGTAATTAAGCAATGGCAGTTTACTATTTATATAATTTTACCGAATTTGATTAACTACTCAAATCAATAGTTCTACCTGGGTTTAGCTAAATTGTTAGACTTGCTTATTCTTGATGCAAGATGTTTCATTTTGCGAGTTAGTTTATTTTTTTTTTAAGTTAAAGCCGTATATGATATCTTAACAGGTGCTCAATCCCAAATATAATTTGGGACTGGGACGACATAACAAGTCCATGTATGTGATATAAAGTAGTTGAGCTTTCTCGTGTTTAAACGACTGATATATTGTTGTATCAATTGCCTCCACTTAATATATTCAGTGATGTTATTCAGTGATGTAAACATGACTGATCTGTTACGACTAAGAAATTGATATATAAGTGATATATTACATTTCAGCATTTTTTTGATTAATCACTTTTTCATACAATATATCATTTTTCCAATAATGTCTTAAAGTTTAATTTTTGTTATATCACATCAACAGTTTTCTCTTAAAAGAATTATATATAGCATTGTTTTAATATTAAAGGAATTAAATTGTTAAAATGACTAATTTATTTGTTTAATGAAGCCCACTGATTATGTCAGAATATCAAGACAAGAATGCCTTTTCCAAATAAAGTCAGATCAGGTAGTGGAGATAACGTCCAATACAAAATATTGTAAATCTACATTTTTTCAGGGCTAATAACCTTTTAATGAATTGTGATAATATTTCCTTAAATTGCAACAGATATTCTGAGAAAAATCTCGTTGGTTGACACATTATCGGAGAGTATTAGGGCTCCATTAACGATGATGTCATATGAGTGAAGATAAATTCTTCAACAGAATTCAAACAAAGTCTAGCACAAGGAAGAACATTCTCGGTAATGAATAATATTAGCAAAAGAATGTAAATTGATAGTCTCTAATTTTAAAATTACTTAACTATATGAAATGCAATTTCAATAAGAAAATAATTATCTTTCATTTGAAATCTTATAGATACGAATTTACTCATTAGGTGAATTTGATAAATTGCAACATTGACAAAAATAATTTTCCAGAAAAGTACATATGCAGTTTGAAGTCATAATCGCATTTAATATTCATTAAGTATCCACGTACTTTACTGTTAGATTATTTGAAGTATACGAGTACGAATGTGCATGATGAGTATCGATACTATTATAGTGTAGTTCGAAGACAATCACTCGACTTAACTGCTTTGTCTGGATTTTCTATGTGTTGAAGTCCTTATCAGCTAAGCACCTTAAATTATTGCTCAATAAACTTAAGTATGGAATTTACAGAACTGTGTGTTTCTGTATATCGCAACGGAAATACGTCTCAGACGGCTAGTAATAGGTTTTCAAGTATCAAATAATATATCCAAGAATAAATTAGTTAGTAAAGCTTATTAATAGATATTTCACATGAGTGCTGTCATTCATTTTACTGATATTAAGCACATTCATTAAAATAATTAGTAATTTTTTTTGTCACATGTACATTTTTATCTCGTTAACTTTTTTATAATTAGGCTATTAAGTTATAGATTAGAATTTCTGTTACTAAGAAAGTGATTAACTCAGTAGTATTTATTCATGAATTGCAACGCATGTACTTCGTATCCTATACTATGAATCTTTCATAAAAGCACGTTGTTAAATGTGTGCATTTTTTCTATTCCTTCATAGATTCTTCTTAGAAGTTATATGAATATAGGCGCTACTTGGATTTCCCAGGCATACCGATTTGACAACAAATCTTATTAGAGTCTGCTATTTCTAATAGCTTTTATCACTATGTTATATGCCGAGCTATTATATATATAGCGAGATATCGATATTTAAAACCATAAACCTTCATTACTCTGGGAAAAAAAAACTAACTATGCCATCTAGTGTCAACTAGTATATATTACTTTAAAGTTAATTACATAAAAAACAGAGTACAGGTTAAATTGTCATGATCCCTAAACCAGAAAAAGATTATTCAGTTCCACAAAACAGGAGATCAATATGTTTTTTCCATCAATGGGAAATGGTTATAATAAAGTAATTTTAGTATGGAAATGGGTTTTATAATCTAAGTGAATTAAAAAAGTCAGTCAATCAAAGAGGCTTCATTTTACTATAACAATTTAGGTTCCTTGAAAATCGCTCAACTCAAATACTATTGGTAAGGGTTTCACAAAAAGTTTTAAGTAAAAGAAAATCACTAGATATGGGAAGTTTTGGTATTGTCCAAGCTTTCGATAAAGTATAGGAGGTTGGACTAAAATTTAAGTTTAGAAATTGCGGGTTTCCAAATAACCTAGTCGCACATATCAGTAGTTTTCTGAACAACCGGGAGTTCTCTCTAAATCTTTTTGATGCTGTGAACACACACACCACAGTTCAGAGTTAAATCTATTAAAAATTATTAATTTTTTCGTTATGGGTGACAGATATGCTAGAGTCAATGTACTACTTTAGTCAATATATTCTAATACTTATACTCATCTATACTTACTAGTGAATTACTCAAGAAATTACCTTAATACGAACGTAAACATAACATGAGTTCTAAGACAAAATTACATACAATAACAAAAAAAAATCGAGTAACAACAAATGATGGCAATAGATAGCGCTATAGTAATATATAGCGCATTAGAAGAAGTTACACAAAATGACTTTACTTAAGGTC